ATGAAGAAAGCTATCAAATAGAATTGCACTGAACAGGGTAGCATCAGAAGAAGACAACATACTTAGGAATAAACATAACAAAATAAGTACAAAACTTATAGAAACTACAAAATATTGTCAAAAGAAATTAAAGAACACCCATATGCAGGTACTTCAAAAAGTTCATTAAAAATGGAATTAAAAATATGAATGTATTTTGGCAAGTAAGAATTTTTGCAATCCATGCTTAATTTTTTTATAATACACATCTTAACCATTTTCTACATATTATGAAAAACTTTTTGTAAAGATTTTATTTGAGAGGGAGAGATAGAAAGAAAGGTCTTCCATCTTCTGGTTCACTCCCCTAATGTCCACAGTGGATGGAGCCAGGGCAATCCAAAGCCAGGAACCAGGAGCTTCTTCTGGGTGTCCCATGTGGGTACAGGAGTCCAAGCACTTGAGCCATCTTCTACTGATTTCCCAGGCTACTAGCAGGGAGCTAGATTGGAAGTGGAGCAGCTGGGACACGAACCAGCACCCATATGGGATGCCAGCACTGCAGGCGGATGCTTAGCCTACTATGCCACAGTGCCAGCTCCCATGCAAAACTTTTGTACACTAAAATAAACCTGTACTTTAAAAGAAAATTATTTCTTGAGGTAGAGAGAAACATTGAACTCCCATTTTCTGGTTTACCCCTCAAATTCCCACAAGAGCTGGGGGCAGGGGACAAATGCAGGAATTCAGCTACTTGAGCCATCACTACTTCTTCCCAGGAGCTAGTTTAGTAGAAAGCTAGAATCAGGAGCCAGAGCCAGAAATTTGATCCAGGTTCTCCTATGTCAGACACGGATGTCCTAACTGTTGGCTTACCTGCCAAGCCAAATGCCTACCCCTTCATATTTTTTTAAAGATTTATTTATTTTATTTGGAAAGAGTTAGAGAGAGAGGGAGAGACAGAGAGATCCTCCATCCACTGGTTCACTGCATGATGACCACAATGGCCACAGCTGTAGCAGTCCGAAGCCAGGAGCCAGGAGCTTCTTCTGGGTCTCTGTGGGTACAGGGGCCCAAGCACTTGGGCCATTTTCCACTGCTTTCCCAGGCATATCGGCAGGGAACTGGATCAGAAGTGGAGTAGCTGGGACTTGAACCAGCACCCATATGGGATGCTAGTGGTGGCTTAACCCACTACACCACAACACCACCTCCCCTTCATATTTTTAATTCCATTTTTTCATGAATATGTTAAAGGACCCTCATATAAATGGAAAGATATCCTATGTTAATGTGTCATAACAATTTTCATGATTAAGATGGCAATACTCCCCAGATTAATCTACAAATTTAATATAATGCCTCTCAGAGTCCACTGTTGTGAAATTGACAAGGTGGTCTAAAATTCATATGGAAATGCAAATGACCCAGAATACCAAAACAATCTTTAAAAAGAAGCACAAAGTCAGGGGACTCACATTTCCTGATTTCAAACCTGGCTGCAAAATTATGCTAACCAAGATAGCATAAGGAAAGACATAGAAGATAGTGGAGGCCGGCGCTGCGGCTCATTAGGCTAATCCTCCGCCTGTGGCGCCAGCACCCCGGGTTCTAGTCCCGGTCGGGGCACCGGATTCTGTCCCAGTTGCTCCTCTTCCAGTCCAGCTCTCTGCTGTGGCCCAGGAAGGCAGTGGAGGATGCCCCAGGTCCTTGGGCCCTGCACCCGCAGGGGAGACCAGGAGGAAGCACCTGGCTCCTGGCTTCGGATCTGTGCAGTGCCGGCTGTAGCAGCCATTTGAGGGGGTGAACCAATGGAAGGATGACCTTTCTCTCTCTCTCTCTCTCTCTCTCTCTCTCTCTCTCTCTCTAACTCTGCCTGTCAGAAGAAGAAGAAGAAGAAGAAGAAGAAGAAGAAGAAGAAGAAGATGATAGTGGAACAGAATGGTTCTTTTACATTTATGAACAAATGGTTTCACAAAGCTGATGCTATGACAGTTCATTAGGAAAGGGTAGTATTGTCAACAAATGGTGCAGGGATAACTATGTATCTATATGGAAACTAATTAAGTTGGATCCCTACCTCATACCATAGCAATGATTAACTTGAAATGAAGCATAGGCCTGCAAGTAAGAACCAGTACATCTTAGTGACTTTGGGTTAGGCAGTACTTTCCCAGATACATATCATAATCTCAAGCAAGAAAAGAAAAAAATAAAGGTACTTCATCTAAATGAATTTTTAAAAAAAAACCCTTTTTATGCTGCAAAAGAAACCATCCAGAAACTGAAAAGACAATGCACAGAATGGGAGAGAACATGTGTGAATCATACATCAGATTAGAGATTTGTATCCAAAGTTTATTCAGAACTCCCACAACTTAATTTTTCTCTATAGAAGACATATAAATAAACAATAAGGACATGTAATGCTGTTCAGTGTCATTAATGATAAGAGAAATGCAGATCAAAACCATACCATTTCACAAAAACTAGTGTTCTGTAGTCAAAAAGTCATGAAATAAAAGTACTAAGATGGGGAGAAAGTGGACCCCTCATTCATTGCTGGTAGGAATATAAAATAGTGAAATCACTTTGGAAAACGTTTTTGGCAGTTCCTCAGAATGTTAAAAATAGGATTACCATGGACCCCAGGAAGTCCACTCATATTTTTCTAAGAGAAATGAACACTTGACACTTGTGTATGGGGATGGGGTTGTGGCCAGCAAGTGAAGCTGCTGCTAGGGATGCCGGGTCCCATGTTGGAGTGCTGGTTTGAGGCCAGGTTCCTGTGCTCCCAGATCCAGCTTGCTGCTGAAGTGCCTGGGAAAGCAGTGGATGATGACCCAAACACGTTGTTTCCTGCCACCCACATGGCTCCTGGCTTCAGACTCTTGTGGGCATTTGTGGAGTGAGCCAGCAGATGGAGGATCTTGCTTTTTTTTTTGCTACCATTCTGCCTTTCAAATTAATGAAAAAAAATGTTAAAAAAGAAAAACTTTACACAAATGTTCATGGCAGAACTATTTATAATCCTCTAAAAGTATAAAATGTTCCTGTCTCATGAATGAATGTCTGGTACATCTGTGCAATGGGATATTATTAGATGATAAAAGTGACAAAGCGAAACACTGATATCTGCTAAAACATTGATGACTCTTGAAACCATTATGCTAAATGAGGAAAACCAGCCACAGAAAGATCACACAAATAGTATTTGATTCCATTTGTTTGAAATTTGCAGAATAAGACAAGTCACAGAGAGAAAAAGTAAGTTAGGGATTGCCTAGGACCAGGGAGGGTAGGGCAAAGTAGCTGCTAATGGGTGCTAAGGTTTTTGGGTGAATGATGAAAAAGTTCTTAACATTAGATAGTTATAATGATTACACAGCTCTTTCAATATGTTAAAAAAAAAACATTGAGTTATTATGAAACTGTTACCAAAAAAAGTCATGCTCCATTTTGTACTGCTGCTAGAAAATATGGCATCGCCATTGCACAGCTTAATGTTCGTCCAACACAAGCTAAAAATATTTGCCAGTTTGATAGATTAGAGAAGTGTCACCGGTTCAACCATGGAGTATTTTTGCTTCCCAGTAGATATTTATTTATTTATTTATTTTTTACAGGCAGAGTGGACGGTGAGAGAGAGAGAGAGACAGAGAGAAAGGTCTTCCTTTTTGCTGTTGGCTCACCCTCCAATGGCCGCACCGCGCTGATCCAAAGGCAGGAGCCAGGTACTTATCCTGGTCTCCCATGGCGTGCAGGGCCCAAGCACTTGGGCCATCCTCCACTGCACTCCCAGGCCACAGCAGAGAGCTGGCCTGGAAGAGGAGCAACTGAGACAGAATCCGGCAGCCTGACCAGGACTAGAACCCTGGGGTGCCGGCACCGCAAGGCGGAGGATTAGCCTATTGAGCCGCGGCGCCGGCCTTAGCAATGTCTTGATACGTTTTGTCCTGACTAGGATAGGGAATCCTAGTGGAATCAAGAGGGAAGAAACCAGGAATATAGCCAACTATCCTATCATGCGTAAGGTAGTCCCTCACACCAAGTAATTAACCAACCCAAAATGTCAGTAGTTACTAGAGAAGAAACTCTGTACAAGAAATAGCACCTTGTTTTAATTTGTATTTTTTGTATTACTAGTAAGGATCATTTTTTTTCCATTTCATTGTATATCATAAATTTCGTATAATTAGTTGATATTTCTCATCAACTTGTCTGTATTCTTCATATTAGTAAAGATATTAACTATGTACTGTGTTTATTTATTACAGCTATTTTCTTTCAAATTTTGGTCATGTTTCTGACTTAAAATATTTGATCAAATTTTTAAGATTTTTGTGTTGTATCTTAGTTCTACTATATACCTATCTACTCCCACCTCCTGTAATTTCATTTTTACTCATTTTCTTTACTGGAATTTTAAGCCTTTCACATTTAAATTTTTTATGCATGTAGAATTTATTATAATATATATTTTGAGGTATGGAATAACTTTTTCCAAATGATAATGACTGGTCTTTCTCCATTTGAAGAAACATGTGGCTTACAGAGTATAATTTAGACTCAAAATAACCTTCAGAAAGGAAGCTCTTCACAGGTTTACACAAGAGAGCAAATGTGCCATTCCTCCTTATATTCCTTAACTTAGAGTGCAGTACATTCCTTCAGATAGGTGTTTGGAACTCACCTAGCTCAGGGCAAAGTCACAGAGATCACCATGTCAGCCTGTCAGCCTTGTAGAAACATAACATAAATATAGAAGCTAGGAATGGAAATTGGTTACAGTTGGGGTTAAAATGCCTTTACTTAATGAATTTTGTGATAGGAGCTGAGAGATGGAGAAAGTGATATTATACATGTATGTGTGGTGTGTATTTGGTAAGAAGGCAGATACAATTTCATTAAGTGATGTATCAGTTTATAACATGATACAACAATTTTTATGAATTCCTGATAATATACCAGTTACATGAATGAATGGGGATAAGTATAGATGTCTTCATATTGTTATACAGATGGAGAATGAGTTAGATTCTGCTCGTTCTGAAATAGAACTCCTCAGGAGTCAAATGACAAATGAAAGGATCTCCATGCAGAATCTAGAAGCTTTGCTGGTGGCCAACCGAGACAAAGAGTATCAGTCTCAGATAGCACTACAAGAAAAAGAATCTGAAATTCAGCTTCTTAAGGAACACCTTTGTTTGGCAGAAAATAAAATGTGAGTTGTTTAGCAATATAATAACAGAAAGTCGTGTTTTTAATTTTCTGGTGCATTTATCGATTACAATTTTAAAGCTACAATGTAGAGAATTTCATTCCCATGATTTGCCATTAATTAACCTGGGTTCAGAAATACTATGATTTGCCTAAGACTTAGTATTCATTTTTATTTTGTTTTATATAAATTTGAGTTTAGCAGTCTCTATTCATTGTTTCCATCAGAGTTTTGGATATCATAGAATGTCAGATCTAAAATACTGCCTTTAAAAATATAATCAGATTAGAAAAGCAATTAAGCACTCTGAAACCAGCAGAGTTTTACATGTCTGGACCCTTCTGCCATTGCTATCTAGTCTTTCCATTTTTCACCTAGTATTTCTTTATGTTCCCGAGGCTATTGGAAGAACTACACTCACTTCCCCAGAACATGATTTGGGGTTGTGTTTGTAACCCCTAGCTTCACTAGTACTTTATTAGAAGACCCCTGGCTGAGGAATGGGTGGAAATACCTATTTGATTATAAACATTTTATGATTAAACTTGGTCACCTCACAGAAACTGAAAATAGGTCTTTGTACAAATAAAGAATGGGAATGGGAGAGGGAGGAGAAAGAAGGGTTGGAGCGTTGGCGGGAGAGAGGAGAGGGTGGGAATCATCTATGTGTTCCTAAATCTGTACATAGGAAATACATGAAACTTGTATTAAATAAAATTTTTTAAAAAGAAAAAAAACTGAGGCAGACTCTTAGCTTCTGTCCTTATTTGTCCCATCCATAATACTTTTTTGCTCTGCCCTCACGTCCATGCCTGAGACCTTGCAAAGGACAGAGATTGTGACCTCAGACACCAGTCACTCCTAGAAGCCCCTAAGGCTGCAGACTCAGGACCAGTTTCCTTCTGAAACTGCTTTCAGGTCATGGTAGCCATGACTGAGCCACTCCTTTTGGTTCCTGGAGCTGGGCTGTTGTGGTTCTTCAGCTGGTCCTGCAGGATCACTTTCTCAAGCTGGTAGGTAGAAATCCACTTTTGTGAAGGATGCCGAAACTCCCACGCCAGGAGGGACACTCTGTACCTGGCTGATGAGTACTATCACTAAGAGATGGTTAGCATGATGAACTTGTGCTCTCAGTCCCTGAGTTAACATTTCAGCAGTCTGTGCTGCTGTCCTGATAGCAGGCCCAGAGGGCAGAATGTTCCGTGCCAGCAGCCTTCATCTCTCATCAGTCTCCTTATGAAGTTGTACCTTATTACAGGGTTTTGAGGCCTCGTTTAGCCTTAAGGAAGATCCTGTTAAGTTGAAGAGTTTTTGTTCCTAACTGTATGTATATAAATTTCATTCTGGCCGGCACCGCGGCTCACTAGGCTAATCCTTCGCCTTGCGGCGCCGGCACACCGGGTTCTAGTCCTGGTTGGGGCGCCGGATTCTGTCCCGGTTGCCCCTCTTCCAGGCCAGCCCTCTGCTGTGGCCAGGGAGTGCAGTGGAGGATGGCCCAAGTGCTTGGGCCCTGCACCCCATGGGAGACCAGGAGAAGTACCTGGCTCCTGCCATCGGATCAGCATGGTTCGCCGGCCGCAGCGCTCCGGCAGCGGCTGCCATTGGAGGGTGAACCAATGGCAAAGGAAGACCTTTCTCTCTGTCTCTCTCTCTCACTGTCCACTCTGCCTGTCAAAAAAATTTTTTTTCATTCTATATATAAGTACATATAAGGCAGACCATATTAATTATTGTGCTTATGAATCCCCGTGTTAGCTGCTTGATCATGCTACTAAACACTTATATAATATTTCCAAGTACTTTTATAAAACTAATTTGCAGTAAATAGATAATATATATTATCCTATCTATATATAGGAAAATAGAGAAGGTTTAACCAATTGAGTGGTTAGGCTGGAATTGCTTAGGCTTTTCAAATAGGCAACTTTGTACATTCTGGATATCTGAAATCGGCAAATTTTAGAAGTACTAATAAAATCTCTCTGTAAAAATCAGTGTGACATTAACTCAAACTGAGAAACCATTCCTATGACTAGGGGTCATAGCCTTATCTTAAGTTTAATCAGCAACCACTCCTATCTTGTTTTGCACAGGGCCATCCAGAGTAGAGACGTGGCCCAGTTCAGAAATGTCGTAACGCAATTGGAAGCTGATTTAGACATTACCAAAAGACAATTAGGGACAGAGCGATTTGAAAGGTAAGTTTATTTCTATGGCCACTTTCAGTCTGGGAAACATTGTTTCTTGGGTACAACAGTAGGTTGAACTTCTTTCCTGAGGGTTTGAATTTAAGGTATGAATTGAGTTACGGTTTTATGAGCTTTGATAATGGTCACTGGATATTACAATTACAAGCACCATTATTTTGCTTTAGGGAAAGGGCTGTACAAGAACTTCGCCGCCAAAATTACTCAAGTAATGCTTATCATCTGAGTTCTACAATGAAGCCAAACGCAAAATGTCATTCACCAGAACGTGTTCACCATCGATCTCCTGACCGAGGCCTGGATCGATCATTAGAAGAGTAAGTCAGTATAAGAGTCGATCCTCTTGGAACCATATAGCAATATTTTCAGGGAGTATTTGAGAGTAAGGGAACTCAATATTAATATTGGAACAGTCCAATATTAATAGTGGTACTTAAACATGGTTACCAAGATATGTTGACATAAAAATAATTTTATGGTAATGATAAGCACATGTATTTTAAAATTTTTCTTTTCTTATGCAAAAGTAGCATATTTTAGATGCTACTGCTTTTTTTAAAGATTTAATTATTTGCTTTAAAAGTCAGAGTTACAGGGAAAGAGGGAGAGAGAGAGAAAGAAAGATCTTCCATCCACTGCTTTATGGCCACAATAGCCAGGGTTGGGCCAGGCTGAAGCCAGGAACCAGGAGCTTCCTCTGTGTCTCTCACGTGGGTAGATGGTAGATGTCTCACATGGGTATTTGGGCCATCCTCTACTGCTTTTTCCAGGCATATCAGCAAGGAGCTGGATTGAAAGTGGAGCATCCGGGTTTCAAACCAGCATCACAGGTGGTGGCTTTACTCACTGTGCCACAACACTGGCCTGCCCCCTATAGATGCTTATTTGCACTATGTTTTTCCTGCTTAATATATCCTATAAGTTATTCCATAATGATTCATAGAGATTCTCTTTATTCCTTTTGACAGCAGCCTATTCCAATGTGTGGATGTACCATAGTTATTTAACCACTCTCCTAAGTAGTTTATAACAATTTGCGATTATAAAGAAGACTGTAATTAATAATCTTCATATAGTTGTAGAAATATTGTCAGAGTAAATTCCTAGAAGTAGGATTGCTAGATCAAGGGGTAAACCCATGTATAGTTTCGTTAGATAGTGCCAAATGCCTCTCTATTTTGCATTTCCTCCAGCAATATGCGAGAGTGCCTGTTTCCCCACAACCTTACCAGCAGAATGTACTCTTAAGCTTTTGAATTTGTGCCAGTATGGAAGGTGAGAAATAGTATTTCAGTGTACTTTTAACTTCAATTTCTCTTATTATGAGTGAAGCTGAATGTCTTTATAGGTTTAAGGGCTATTTTTGTGTCTTTTTAAAAAATTGTTCATTTCTTCTTTACTATTTTTCTAATAGTTTTGATCCTTTTGTTAAAAAATTTTAGAATAAATTTGAAATATTCAGCAGTGATACAGGCCACAAATATTTTTTCCCATTTTTGTCACTTTTATTTTGACTTTACCTGTACTGTTTTTTCCATGTGAAAGTTATTTTTATGTAATCCAATTTTAAAATCTTTTCCTTTAATACATATAGATTTCTATTCATAGTTAGAAAATCTCTGTATCTAGATAATTAAGGAATTCACTGTTTTCTTTCAGTATTTATACAGTTTTCCTGTTTTACACATATGTATTTATTTATTTGTATTTTGTTTGAAAGGCAGAGAGACACATGGAGAGAGACTTTTTAAAAAAGATTTATTTATTTGAAAGGAAGAGTTACAGAGAGGCAGAGGCAGAGAGAGGGAGAGAGAGAGGTCTTCCATCTGCTGGTTCACTTCTCAAATGGCTGCAACGGCTGGAGCTGTGCCGATCTGAAGCCAGGAGCCAGGAGCTTCTTCCAGGTGTCCCATGTGGGTACACGGTCCCAAGGACCATCTTCTACTGCTTTCCCAGGCCATGGCAGAGAGCTGGATTAGAAGTGAAACAACTAGGACTCGAATTGGCGCCCATATGGGATACTGGTTCTGCAGGCAACAGCTTTACCCACTATGCCACAGCACCAGCCCCAAGAGAGAACTTTTTATATTCTGGTTTCTGATCCTTTTGGAGTTTATGTACGGTTTGAGGAATATATCTAAATTTATCTTTTTCCAAATGATTATCCAGTTGTCCCAGGACCATTCATTACAAGCTCTCTGATCTGGTGATTCAAGTGTCTTTCTGGACTTTCTGTTCCATTGATCTGCATAATCATGTGCCAGCCCTACACCAGTTAGATTATGGAAGCTTCATGGTAGGTTTTTGTTGTTTCGTTTCTTTTTGCAGGGCTAGTCCAGAGGTGCACTGGTAAACAAGTGCTTCAACGGGGAGGAGGGCAAAGCTCTGATCTGTAGCACCTGCCATTCTCTGTGGTGTAAATACTCCCACTCTGGCCAGTTCAAGCCATCAATGATTTAACAACTAGGTCCCAAAATCCTTAAGTATTTACCGTCAGTGGTAAGCCAACTCCAGCACAGCAATGGGCTAGTTCACTTTAACAGTTCTTCTTTTCAAGTGTTTATATTTTCCTGGGAGTTTTATTTTTCATATGAACTTTAGAATCAACTTGTCTAGCTCTGTTTTTAAAAATCCCATTGGAATTTTTATTAGGATCACACTAAACTTATAAGTTAACTTGGGAAGAACTGACATCTTGATTATGTTGAGATGTCCTAATCAATTTGTTCAAATTAACTTTTGTGTCTTTTCAAGAATTTCTTGTAGTTTTCTTTACATTGGTTTTGAACATTTTTTATTAAGTTTATACCTAAATATTTTTATCTTTTATGTTGCTATTATAGATGTCTGTTTCATTTGTTATATCTTCAGAAAATGCTATTTTTTCAAGATTTATTTATTTATTTGAAAGGTAGAGTTACAGAGAGGCAGAGGCAGAGAGAGAGAAAAGTCTTCCATCTTCTATCTGATGGTTCACTCCCCAAATGGCCACAATGGCTGGAGCTGAGCAATCCAAAGCCAGGAGCCAGGAGTTTCTTCCAGGTCTCCCATGCAGGTGCAGGGGCCAAAGCACTTGGCCATCCTCTGCTGCTTTCCCAGGCCATAGCAGAGAGCTGGATCAGAAGTAGAGCAGCTGGGACTCGAACTGATGCCCATATGGGATGCTGGCACTGCAGGCAGTGGCTTTACCTGCTGTGCCACAGCGCCAGCCCCACTATTTATTTTTGTATGTTAATTTTTCATCATGCTACCTCACTAAATTCTTTTATTGTCTCATTAAGTTTTGTTTTTGACTCTCTAGATTTTTCTAAGTATGTTATCTGCAAAAAGAGGTGGCTTTCTGTATTCTCCTGTTTCTGTGTCTTGAATTGTGTTTTCTATCCTTTAAAACAATTTGCATTGCTTTGAAGCTATCTGGTTTCTGAAGATTTAGTTGAACTCATGTATGAAACTGAGTCGCCTTGTTTCATTTTTGTGGAGTGCCTTCCTTGATAACTTGATTTTTCTTCTTTAAAAACTGATCTCTTAAAGCTCTCTGTCTGTATAGGCTTAAAGAATTATTTATTGTTTCTAGGTTTTCAAATTTATTTGTATGAGAGTGACCAATGTAGTATTTGTGAATTTTTAAATTTCTTCTTTATCAACAGTTACATTCCTGTTACCATTTTTTATTTGTGTATTTGTGTTCTACCTTCTACTTTTTTTTTTAAGATTTGTTTTATTTATTTGAAAGGCAGAATTATAGAAAGACAGAGGCAGAGAGAGAGAAAGGTCTCATATCCGCTGGCTCAGTCCCTAAATGGCTGCAACAGCCAGAGCTGGGCTGATCCAAAGCCAGGCCTGGAGCTTCTTCCAGGTCTCCATGTGCCACCCTCTACTTTTTTTCCTCATTATATTAGTTAGTTCTTTGCTTGCTTTGTTCATTGCATCAAAGAACCAGGATTTTTAAAAAAATATTTTTTAAAGAAAGCTTTTATTTAATAAATATAAATTTCATAGGTACAACTTTTGGAATATAGGGGTTCTTCCCCCCATACCCACCCTCCCACCCCCACTCCTGTCCCACCTCCTACTCCCTCTCCCATCCCATTCTTCACTAAGATTCATTTTTAATTATCTTTATATACAGATCAACTCTATACTAAGTAAAGATAAAAATCCTTCAAAAAATATTTCAGAAGCAGAAAGAAACACAGAGACCGAGAAAGAGAGCTCCCAAATGCCTGCAACAGCCATAGCTGGGGTTGAAGCTGGGACCGTGGGACTCAATCCAGGTCTCCCAAGTGATTGACAGGAATCCAATTACTTGAGCCATCTTCACTGCTTCCCAGGATCTGCGTTAGCAGGAAGCTGCAATCAAGAGTAAAGCTGGCTATGGAACCAAGGCACTCCGACATGAGGCCTATCTAAACTGTTAGGCCAGATGCCTACCGGAGAACCAGGATTTTGATTTGGTCACCTGTTTCTCTTACTAATTTTTAAAAATTATTTCCTCCCTTGTCCTATCTTCTAATTTGTTGTGTTTTTCCTGGCTTTTTCAGTTGGAGAATTTAATTAATTCTTTGTTCTTCTTTTATTTTATTGATATAAGTGTTTAGATCTATGAATTTTCCTCTGATCACTGCTTTAAATAGATCCCAAAGGTCTGGATACATAATACTTTTCTTCTCATTCTTTTCAGATGCTGTAATTTCTATTTATAGTTTCACTTTTACCTGAGTTGTTTGATAGGAAATATTTAATTTGCATTTTGAAGGGCTTTTTGTTTTGTTTTAGTTTCATTGTTAATTTCTAGTCTTACTACATGTGACTAAGGAATATTATCTATTGTGTTTCTGTTTTGTGGAACCTACTCATATTTTCTTTGTGCTTTGTGAAAAGTTCACATACATTTAAGAAGATGTGCCCCTTCTTATTGGAGTAGTAGCCAATATATTTCCAAAAGATTTACCTTTTTGATTTTCTGTAGATCTATTATATCATTGCTTAATTTTTATCCACTTGGCCTGTTTTAAACTAAGAGCATTTTAAAGTCTCCAGTTATTTGTAGGTTTTTATTTCTTCTGCTTTGTTGAAAAATATTTATTTGTTAATTTGAAAGGCAGAATGATAGAGAGAGAAAGATAGAGATCTTCCATCCACTAGTTCACTTCTCAAATGACAGTAACTGGGACTGGGCCATACTGAAGCCAGGGATCCAGAGCTCCATCCAGGTCTCCCATGGGAGGTGTAGAGGCCCACATATTTGGGCTATCTTCAGCTCCTTTCCCGGGAGCATCAGCAGGGAGCTGGATCAGAAGCAGTGCAGCCAGGACTGGAACTGGCACTTCAATACAGGATGCCAACCTCACAAGCAGCAGCTTAACTTGCTAGGCCACAATGCCACTTGCATCTCTAATTTTGTTTTCTATAGGTGGTTTGCTGTTTTATTTGTTGCATAGGTATTTTGAACTGCATTCTTCATTGTGGAACATAGATTTTATACTGTATCCTTTTCTTAATGCATTTAAATTTGGAAGGCAGAGGGACTGGTACTACATTGGAGTTGCAACTCCTGTTTTCCTTTTGTCTCCATTTGCCTGGTAAATATCTTTATTTTTAGCTGTTTTGTTTTAAGCCTATCTCTTATGTATGCAGTATGGATTTGGAATTTACTTTGAGACATTTTGAAATGCTCTTTTTAAGGTAGATGAGTTAAAATCTTTCACATTATTTATGTGACTATTATGTTTGGTTGCAACTCTGTTACTATTATTGCGTGTAACGTGATATTTGGTTAATTCTCTCTTTTTAAACAAAACTGCTTATGGTATTTATGGAGGTTTGTATCTTATTGAATTTTTCCATCAACAGCAAAGAACTCACTCCCTCCTGAAACCCCTTGGTAGACTCTATCCCTTGCAGCCCTCTGGCTTGCTCCTCAATCCCTTGGCAAACTCTAAATTTATTCTCTCTTTATTTTGGTAATCTTGAGAATGTTATGTGAATGGACTCCTATAGTGTATGTAACATTTTGGGATTGGCTCTTTTCATTTCTCATAATGAGATCCATCCCAAGTTGTATATAGTACTAGTTCATTCCTTTTATTGGTGAATAGCATTCCATAGTATGCATGTATCACAGTCTGTGAAAACTGAGTAGAAAAAAATACATCATACCCTTCACAGAAGCTAGAGGGAAATCTTAAATGTTGTGAAAGTAATGTTAGAATATATATTTTTATACATGCTGAAACAGTTAAATTAAATTGTTAATGTTAAATTAAAAATATTAATCTGCATAATTTTTCTCTCTCATAGGAATCTTTGCTACAGAGATTTCTGACACGCGAAAAGATTCTTCACATCCTTGGAAGAGTCAAAGTTACAAACTGATTTTTTTGCTATATGATTGCATTTATCTTTTGAACGCGTGATGGTGTTAAATGTTTTTATTAACTTTGTGCCTCTGAATCTGTTCTCATGTGCCATGCCACAGTGATCCGAGATGACTTATAAAACAAAAGTGTATGGCTCTTTCTATCCATACAGTAATAGTGAGTGTAAAATCTGCTTACTTCACTATTGAACACTGTTTTGTTAACTATCCAGAGTAAATAAAGAAACTTAAAAAAAAGAGGGAAAAGTGTTTTTACAAAACTGATGTCCTTTCCTTTCTTAGTATCTCAAATAATTGGTTGGTTAGATTTTTTTTTCATTGTGATTTATGCTTTCATGGCTAAATAAGTTGTGCCAAAATAGGCACAGTTTACCAATACTGGCCTGGGACCCAATATTCCATTTTGGAACCAACCTGATATAAATTCCATGCCATAATCTGACTTCAAAGCAGCAGAAAGTAGGAGTGTGTCAGGGTTTTAAATCCATACTGTTGTACCACTCAAAGACTAATAAACATACATTTTCTACATTGTGTTTACTCCTGCTATTTTTAGAAAGGTAGGTGATGATACATCTGTCAAGAATGTAAGACTTTCAAAAATCTGTATTTTGAATAAGTTTTCTTTAAAACAGTAAAGTACTACAATCAACTTAATTGCCATTTAATTATATTTTTTGCCTGTGGCAGCTGTCTGTAATCTGGAATAACAAGTTCAGTGATGTTTCCCTTTTTTCCCCTCTTAAAATTTCCTAAATTGCTTATCTGTCCATAGGCTTTTATTTAATGTTGATATTAGAGCCTGAATGCTACTGTATTTTACTGATATAAGCTATTTGTATTCTTGCCATTTTAATAAAAGAAACAAATTCTGTTATGAATAGTATTCATATGATGTAGATAATTTCTCATTTTATCTAGTCACTTTTCAGTATGACTATAGTGTGTAGGACAGTGCCCTGATTTAAGTCATATTTAATCATTTACACACTGATGCTTTACTATAATTTCATGCTGCAGATTCACTTTAGTTTCATTTTTGAAAACCTTCAGGTTTACTCGTCTAGTTTAATATAGTCCCTTACAGATTGGTTAAAAATGAAAAATTTAAAATAAGATACCCTTTTACATGTATTTTAAGGATAAGATGCCAAAATGTTGTTCTTGCTAATATTAAATGATATATTGATATATATACAAAATTAACCTTTTCTGGGGACCTCCATATTCTTAGCAGTAGGTCATCACAACATTGATTTTAGTCTGTCCATGTGGAAGAGCTGACCAAGAGCTGAGTGTCACTTGTCATATGCACTTAACACATCTGTACAGGGCAGTATGTAAGGAGAGCAGAATGAGAGGAACAGATGTATGTAAGAAAATATCTTCATGCTTGATTAAAAATATGCTATACTTGTGCTATCGATTACAGACTATTTAAAAAGAAAAGTATGTGGTAAATATGGCCAATATTATCCAAAGGCCAAGGAAACTTCAGATCTCCTCTATGTTAAAACTTGAAAGAAAATATTGCTTGTAATAATATTCAAGAACATTTTTTGTTTTAAATAAAAGTCTAATCATGTAATTATAAATATTCAGTAGCCCATTGATATAGTAGAGACTACTTAATGCAAACTCAATATAAAAACTATAACAAGCATAGTCTTTCTTAGATGACAAATCACCTGAAAAAGAGCTTTCAGCTTCCAGGTGTCATGTCAGTACAAAACATACACTCCTGTTGAAGCAACAGTGTGTAACAGAAAATTGTTAAATCCAGAATCCCTGGTATAAACATCCTATTTTGAAGTTCAAGCACCACTAAGATGGCGTTAGTCTTGTTTTTGGCTTATCTGAACTGTCATTCAACTTTCTGTTGAGAGTAGAAGCAAAGCATTTGCATGGCGTGCCATTTTGAAGTTCATAAGCTAAAATTTCAAAAAGAACGCGTGTTACATTTTTGATCTTTAGATTATGACAGTTAGGGTTCATTCCTCTTATAATTTAGCAACAACAGGCATAATGAGTTAACTAAGTGTATGTTCTGGTAGTATTAGCTACTAAAAACTTAGATGGAATCAACTAAAAATGTTAATAATGTAAAGAAAATGTCTACGTGACATTTTGTAAGAATACTGGCCACTGTGGTTATAAATGACTCACCTTGAAGATGCAGAAGAAAAAAGAATATGAATGGAAGCCTTTGGGTTTCTCATCACTTTTAAATGCTTCAAAACTTATTTGAAATTATGCATCCAGGTATTTATTAAAATATATTTCAAAAATCAGTCTCATAAGAATCTGCTATTTCCTCCTTTTCTACATATTTCCTCATAAGTCCTTGCTGTGCCCTTATATAGAATCTTCTCAGCTCCCCAAATTCTTTTATTAAGTTTTATTTTAAAGGCAGAGAGATGGAGAGATTTCTTTCATCTACTAGTTCATTCTCCCAAATGCCCAAAACACCTAGAGCTGGGCCAGGCCAAGGCCAAGAGCCCAGAGCTCAATCAAGGTCTCCCTTGTAGATGGCAGCAATTCAAGAGCTTGAACCATAATCTGCTGCCTTCCCACAATGCACATTAGCAGGAAGCTGGATCAGAAGCAAAGTAGCCAGGGCTTGCACCAGATACATTGATAAGGGAGGCATGTATCCCAGTCAGCGACTTAACCAATGTACCAAATGCCCACTCCAGCACCCCAAATTCTGTGTTCATAGATGCATTCCTAACATAATCAGAAATAGTTTGCAACTCAGTTTTCTAGCCCCATTCACTTTCAGTCAGGTAGAATGAGAACTACCACATGAGAAAAGAATCTCTAAAACTCATGCATTTGTGGTCTTCTCCAGAACCACTATCATAGCAAATCATAGGTTATTTAGTGGCATAAACTATAATTCAAAAGCCAAATCATAAACTACCAGAATATAACTTTATATATTTTTGTTATCTCTGAACTTTTCAAGTAAAGAAAAAATTCTAGTCTTATACTATAAATAAATAAATAAAAAGGTCAAGATAATTAGACCACCTATTTAAGCCCTGTCATATATTTTTTGCACCTTAGATTACATTTGTACAACCAGAATGAGTTAAACTAATAACCTTTAAGTTTTCAAATAATTTCCCAATTAAATTTAAGAACATTTAATATGTTTTATGAGGAAGATTTATATTAAATAAATTTTAAAAATCTCAGGATTTTATGATCACAAGATACTCAACCTTACTGTCATTATCAGCATTTTTTTGAATATTTATTTATTTGAGAGGTAGAGTTACAGAGAGAGAAGGAGAGACAGAGAGAAAGGTCTTGCACCCATTGATTCACTCCCAACACGGCTGTCACAGTGGCCAGAGCTGGGCTCTTCCTAAGCCAGGAGCCAGGAGCTTCTTCCAGGTCTCCCACACAGGTGCAGGGACCCAAGCACTTAGGCCATCATCTACTGCTTTCCTAGGCCATAGCAGAGAACTGGATCAGAAGAAGAGCATCTGGGACTTGAACTGGCACCCATATAGGATGCTGGCACCGCATGTGGAGACTTAGCCCACTACGGCACAGCACCAGTGCCAGTTTCTTGAATTAACACCATCCAGCCATCTGATGTGAAGGTACTTAAAGAAGTTCATGAAAAATGGAATTGAAAGATGCTTATTTTGATGTAAAACATTTTTTTAAATCTATGCATAGTTTTTCATAATATGTATTTTTGGGGCCGGCGCCGCGGCTCACTAGGCTAATCCTCCACCTTGCGGCGCCGGCACACCGGGTTCTAGTCCCGGTTGGGGCACCGGATTCTGTCCCGGTTGCCCCTCTTCCAGGCCAGCTCTCTGCTATGGCCAGGGAGTGCAGTGGAGGATGGCCCAAGTGCTTGGGCCCTGCCTCCATGGGAGACCAGGAGAAGCACCTGGCTCCTGCCTTCGGATCGGCCATTTGGGGGGTGAACCAATGGAAGGAAGACCTTTCTCTCTGGCTCGCTCTCTCTCACTGTCCACTCTGCCTGTCAAAAAAAAATGTATTTTTGATGAACTTTTTAAAGACCACTTGTAGCCATGATTTTCAGTATTTTTGCACCAGAATAAAACTTTAATTATATTTTCTACAGATTTTTTGAGGTACTTTGTATTACTGACAAAATATGAAGTGTATCAACTTCTTTCTTTCAGTAAATTTTCTAGTAGAAATAGTATTCCTTAATTTTATGAGGAATACACATGTTTTATAGTTTGGAAAAAGGATATCTATGTAATTATAGGATTAAAAAAGCAGAATATAAACAGCATCAGACTAGTTTATTTAGGTGCTCCTTAATGTTTCAGTTTTAACAGTTTGTAGAAATAAGCAACCTTTAGAATTGTCTGATAAACATGCAATTAAAATATTTAAGTATAAATAAGTAATAATTGTGCAGTTCCTATAAAATAAAAATTATGCAAGGTGTTCTTCAATAGTAGACCTTATTCCAAATAATCTTGTGATTCATGGATTGAGTTAATGTTGGAATAATGTAACATCTGCAGGCAGGAAGATAATCGCAATATTGTCACATGTTAAATCTGCTTCCTTACGGTGCAGATTGAAATGTGAGGCAAGCAATAAGAAAAATAACATTTGTTAATTGTCTCATTACTTCAGTCATTCCTAATCCTAGCTTCACTTTATAGTGACTTGTGAATCTTTTAAAAAAATACAGTGAACTTAATGACCTAGGGGCTGTAATGTGCCGAAAGCAGGAAATATCCTTATGACTCAATTCCAGGGAATCTATTCTTTCTGAATTTTTTGGACTTAAGTTATAACACTATTTGATCAAATTACTTATACTTGTCCCTTTTAAATTGTATTTAAAATGTTTCTTGTTTTTCTTCCTCATTTGATTCTCTAGGATTATAGAATGATTTCTCTAATATCAATTTTTTTCTGTATAATTTCTGTATTTTTAATTAATTTATTTATTTTTAAGGAATACAAATTTCATATGTACAACTTTAGGAATATAGTCATTCTTCCCCTCATACTCGCCCTTCTACCCACATTCCCACCCCTCCTCCTCCTCTCTCTCCCCTTCCCAGTCCCATTCTCAATTAAGATTCATTTTCAATTAACTTCGTACACAGAAGATCAACTCTATAATAAGTAAAGATTTCAACAATTTGCACACACACACACGCACACACACACAAAACTGCTTGGGAACAAGTATCACATTTAACTCTCATAATACAACTCATTGAGGACAGAGGTCCTGCATGGGGAGTCAGTGCACAGTGACTCAGGTTATAGAGATTCAAAAGATGGTGGAGTAGGGAGGGAGCTTACTGCTCTGGTCTGGGAGAGGATAGCTTAAAAAAAGTGGAGAGTGCAGTCTGAGAGAAGAGTCAGGGAGAAAACAGCAGAGGAAACACTAAGCAAATTAGAGGGACACTGTGGACCTACATGGAGGGCGTGGACGCCCACAGCTCAGGACTCCAAGGACTCCAGCAGCCGAGAACTTCTGCACCAGCGTGGGTGAGGAGGTGAGACCAGACTGCAGCAGCAGCAGCCACTGGCGATAAAGCTGCAGGAAGAGCCTAGAGGGGACCCGGCTTGGAGCCCCATGGTGGGGGTAGTGTGTCTCTAATACCTCTTTTTTGGCTTTTTAGCTTATTACTTAGCATTTTATCTGTTACAATAAATGGCCTTTTCTAGCCTTTGTCACTGAAATGAATAATGTACCTTTGTGTGCTATAGTGGTAACCTCAGAAACAACTTGAATGAGTGAGACTTGGTTTGCTATGTTACAAATATGCGCTTTAAAGAAACACAGTGCTGTCCTCAGAGGATGTTACTGAATGGAGGAGGGCAAAACATATGCCTA